TTTAACGAATCTTCAATGACTTTACACGGATTCCGCCATCTGCCTAGAAAATTTATCCCCATTAAAAGAATGCAATTCAACTGCGCACCGATCATCAGAGTTCATTTATTATTTCACTTATTATTTCAGCAAACACCTGCGTAACTTCATTGCCATATACACATGGAGGTAAATTCTCCAGGCTTTTTCGTCGTTTTCCAAAAGTGAACAATAGGCGGCAAGTTTCCGACTTACTTCTCAGTGAACCTGCAGATAGGTTTTTGATGATCATATTGATGATATTATGAATTAAAATATTACTGAATTTAATTTTAATAATGTGGATAGTTTTTCAATTTTGCTTAAAATGTTTTTCTTAGTATCACTTTTTACAGTTCTTCTTCTTCGAATTTCAGCGGGTAAAACTCAATATTCGACTTTAACCCGATTTGGCTACAATTTCACTTGATGCATGTGAATGAAAAGAACATGATAAGCAATGATGACGAACAGGCCTCCCCCCCCCGGTCGCCCCTGACAGCGGCGCCCCCCCCCCCTTCCGTAGGCCCTCATACCCCCTTCACTCTGGAGAGGCGGGACCCTTATGACCCCCTTCACCCTGGAGAGGCCATGTTCCCCCTTTGCACACGTATGCTCCGTTCTGTAGAGCGAGGTTCAATTTAGATTTACGGTATGAAGCCAGACTCCGATCTCTCTTCGTTACTGTATGATTACGGTATGGACTTCTAGTACGTGGATCCATTGTGAAATATGCTATTTGACAATTTTTTCAAAAAACTCAAAAAATCGTGTACTAGGGTTTTCGCGCATGCTGATTCTACTGCACAGCTCTTTAAGAGTGTATTCAGCTTTTTTGACGGCGTAATCACAATTTTGACAAATGCTGAAAATTCAGTTATTATGGTTTACTTGGGATAACTTTTGAAAGAAGCATCACAGTAAAGTGAAAATTTCACTTTCGAAATCAGCGGCTTTCATTACCATAGTATAAAAGTCTTTGGCTTGCTTGGTTTTATTCCAAGGCAGAATATGGCCTCCAATAACGTAAAGCCTTTGTCGAAGTTCCTACCGTATCCTACAGTAACGAAGAGCAAACGGTGATTCGCTCCATATTATAAATCTAAGTTGGAACTCGCTCAACAGAATGGTACCTCAAGCTCGGCGAAAGACATAAAAGCAAGGGAGTTATTGACGACCAAACAGCGTCCACATTTTTGGACACCCTGTTTATAGTGCCTTTGCGGTGAAGTTGAAGCCTGATTAGGTACGTGAAATGCCGATACTTCAGGCACAGCTATCTGTTCACGCGCAAACTTCACCGCAAATCCTGGCGCGGCATTTCAAGCGCAGCTATCTGTTACGCGTAAAGCTCACCGCAAATTTTGGCGCTTATTTCAGATACTTGGATGGTCTGACTTCAAGTGAGATGCGGGACCCACCACAGAAGTTTCTAGAGGCCACTGTTCCTCGCTTCCAACATCCACGATCTTCGTGGTTTTTGTCGGTTGCTGCGTCTGCAATTTGCAAGTGCGAACTCGTTAACAGCCAATTTCTCAGCTGGGTCCATCGTTGGAGGTCTTTCTCGGACTTGTTCTGCTTTGCGCGTAATCCACTCAGATGTTTTTGGTGTCCATCTGTCGTCTGTTCTTCTGATAATGTAAACGGCTATCGGTGCTTCGCTTTTGCAACTATTCCGAAAGTCACGAAGACGGGACATTCTTCTCATATCCGTATGCAAAGTCCGACAAGATGATTGTGTCCGGTCATCTTCAGAAGACTGCGCTCAAGTGCTCTGGAGATCCGCAGAGCTCTCGACGTGGCTACAGTGTCGACTCAAGTCTCAGATGCGTAGCGGAGCGCCGGCAGAACACTTGGATGAACGGATCGACTCGAAGCTAAGGTGTGTCGATTGGTCGTTGGCTCCTCCCTTCAGTTGCTCGAAGGCGGTCCAAGCTCTTTTTTCCTATCAGATTCTCCCCTGAAGTCATCCATGCTCAGAAGGTCTATAATACATAAGGAGACGCCTCCATAATAGGGGCCTTGCATTTCCATTTCCGCATCCTGGACGTTCCTCAAGAACTAAAGGCTTCTGCATGACGAAGGTGCAGCGCTATCAGTTGAGCGGGTACGAGCGTGGCACGCGCGCACCCTCACCGTTATAAATCCTGCGCCTCATGCACGCTCTACGACTAATAAAGCCGCTTTCGCGCCCGACGATATTGCGCCTTCGTCATGCAGCAGCCTATAAGGCCCGTATGCACTAACATTTTTGCAGCGAGGGGAGCGGCGTCCCCCGTTATGAAGGGACCGCGTGCGGACGCCGCTGCGGCTTTTTCATCACTGGGGACGCCGCTCCCCTCGCCGCAGGGATGTTAGTGCATGCGGCCCTAAGTCTTGCCGACTTGTTCGCAATCCTATCTTCCCTAGTTCATTTAGTTTCTTCAGCATCGTATCTGCTTGAGTGATACTACTCCAAAACAGAACGATGTCGTCCACAAAACAAAGGTTTGAAACGAATCGACTCGTATGCCTCTCTCGTCCCAGTCCAGTGACTTCTTCATGGGTAAGGCCGAGGTGAACAGCTTCGGCGAGATTGTGCCGCTTGTCGGACCCCCTTCCCAGCTGGGATGGTCGGGGGGAGGAGGGGGGGGGGGAGGGGGGGGGGGAGGGGGGGGGGGGGAGGAGGGGGGATGGAATTGCTGCATGGTCGTTGTACAGTCCTTATAGCAGTCGGCCTAATGTCGTCACGTAAGGTCAGTACACTCCTTGATCTACTAACTCTGATAGGATGGCGTTAGTTTCGACACTGTCGAAGGCTGTCCCGTAGTCGACGAAAGTTAGAACAAGAAGCAGTCGGTACTCCTGAAGCTCTCTCTCTGTATGTGGTCCATGCAGCTGGATCCCGTGCAAAATCAGCGGGTTCTTAGGGTTTCATCTAGTGTTCTAGATATGCGAGCAAGGATAATCTTCGTGAAAAGCTTGTACAACACACTCAGTAGGCATATTGGACGGTAAATCCAAAGATCCTCCTGTTCGCTTTTGGAGAGAAGAACGGTTTTTGAGTTTTTTCTCCAATGGTCGGGAATCCTTTCCTTTTAGAAGATGTTAGAAGAGACGCGACAGTCTGGTGTAGACGTTGTCCTCCGGCTCTTGACGGAAAAATGATCTGGTTTCGGAGCCGTGGCGTTTCTGTGGTCTAAATCGCGGTGCGCATTTCAGCAGGTAGAATCTGTGCTGGTGCTTTTTAGTGAGAACAACAGACATCGGCACGGGTGTTGATGAGCGGAAGAGGTTGGCGTAGACGTTCGCGATAAATTCCATCTTAGAGAAGAAATCGGGATCCCGTCGTCGTTCAATAAACGGTCAGTTACGTGGTGTTCACAGAGCTCCCCTTCCTTCTTTCGGCTGCTTCCAGTGTCTGTTCTGTACTTCCTGAGATCCTCCTGCAAAGCTGTTTCGCAACCCGCACTGGATATGGTTTCTCGAAATGGATTGCATTCGGATGTCTAAAGATCTTCATCCGAGTAGTCCCTCTGTAGCGCCCCAAGTTTTCCTTGAGTTTTTCTAGCAGTCTTCACTGAAGCGCACTCTCCGGAAATTCCATTCCTTTTTGCATCATTGCGGCAAGGTTTTTTTTTTCAAACTTACGATTGAAGCGTACCTTCCTCAAAGGCGGCGGTGATTCGGAGCCATAGCAAAAGGATGGAATTACTGAGACAACGAGCAAACTCCACCTTCAATCGGGGAATGTGATTGATTCAGCGTGAGTAGTTCCGGTGGGCGATTCCCATGTCCACTGGCGATGTCTCACGTACGGAACCTCCGTGGATAAGTCGTGCGGCGGAGAAGCCAACGAGACGGTTGCCATTTTCATTCTGGAGCCAATATCCAAACTTCCCAATCCTATATTCTCCTCTGGTGACATCCCAATTTTTGCATCGCCTACAACAAACTTGTAGACGGACTTCTGTTGCGGACGACCTCCACGTCTTTGTGGAAAGCAACTGTCCTGAATCAGCGCTGATTGGGGAATAGCGCGGTTGATGATGCTGGGAGTCAATGTATTCGTAGACTAGGATGGGCAGTCGAGGTCATGAAATCTTATGCAAAGCGACAAGGATGAAGATGGCTGGACGGCTGAACCAACGCCTTCGCATCGTGACTGACCCACACATATGGCAAGCACCAACACAAAAATCTACTCTGCATTTGATGGAAGGTTCAATGGATTTTAAAGGCACCGTCCACCCTAAGTTGAAGGTGTTGAGGTTTGGCAGCATATAATAGTAGGGCCCTCTATCAATCCAATGCCCAAGTCGCGGCGCAAAATGCCTCTTCGGAAGCGAGAAAATCGCTTCGGAATAGCGAAGATGCACGAGGACCCCCATCCATGCCCGCCCTCCCCCATCCATGTCCGCCCATTTGTGCGCGCCCATCCAATCACCGTTCTGGAAAGCCGGCCTGTGGGTTTTCCGGAACGGGATTGTCGGAGTTTTCGAGCATTCTTGACTTCATATTCGGAATCAGGGACATGAGAAGGCCCTGAAACGACAAAAACGTAAAAGTCGAAAAACTGGGTGGACGGTGCCTTTGAAATCTTGTCGTCCCTTCTACCTATGACAACACCAATCCCATATCAGAGTGTATATCTAACTACTTTCCAACAGTGTAGCGCTGTTCCAGTGAATTCCCTAACCGTTCCTCTACGGAGAATGTCTTTGTCTTTCGGTGATTTGTGCTTGCAACATGGCTGAATTGACTTGCTTCGGGTTACCGGCCTTTACGAATACAACGAAGTAGTCTGAGCATATCAGTTTTCGCTGCCCTTTCAAGTTAATTTGTGACTCGCTGTTCCCACAATAGTTGATACCCATCCATAGCACATCCATGCGCGAGGATTACTGACAGTCCCTCACGAGATATGCTCGTATGCTCGTAACACGTATGCTGCCTCCTATAGCAACTTAGACTGGCCCTAAATTTCACGAAATCTTCCATGTCCGAAATCTAAGAGGTTCACAAAAAACAAAAACATTCATTTGAATTAAAGTAGACATAAATCTTGCGGATCAAACAGTGGAGACATAGGCATAAAAATCATTTTGATGGGGTTACATAGCCAACCCTTGAGTATCAGAATCCCATGTACAGATTTTATCCGCTAATAATGACGAAATACTCGTGTTAAACACACATACACATAGACCTACGCTTGGATAGGCGGATTCCGGATATAACATGATAATAACAAGACCGGATATCCGCCAATAGCATTATGAAGTCAACAAAACAACCACAGAGTGACGAAAGAGATAAATTCGGTGGCGTACCAAAGATAAGATAATAGACATTTTTCAGGCGTCATTTTCCTCGCCATCTGAACCTCCCTCATCGTCTACCTGGAAGAGAGACTTCTTAGAAAACTAAAAACTCCCAGCCATAATTACCTCCTCTAGGCCTTCCTCGTCATCAATAAGTTCTTCAAAATCATCGCCCGTTTCTTCCATTTCTGGTAGGAGGTAGTATTGCAATGGGTTTGGCCACATATCATCTTTGATAACCTGCAATCAATTCCAAAATATGATTATAAACCAACAAACGTAATCTCACCTCAGCAATGTCATCGTGAGCAGGGTCCACATTTTCCGAAAGCCATTCAAAGAAGGAGAGCGGTGATGAAGAATCTCCTTTCTTAAAGTATCTTCTCAAAACAGATAGCAAGCACAGACAACAAAGGAGATTACTTTGCCCAGATTCTTGCCCTCTTTCCATCGTATCGTAGTGCCGGTGGTTGAGGGTGTATCTCCGAGGTTGTACTCTTTTTCTATTTTTTCGTTCTCAAAGAATTCATTGGGAGAGAAATAAAAACGCAAGCGGAAGCCGCTTTTGATATCATCAAACTCGTCGACCTAAACAAGTATTGTATGAGGCTGAGGATTTATATTCTTAGGTTCAACAGGAATACAAGAAAAAGCAACTTTGGTAGACTACTACTGTATTCATACCTCAATATTACTGAGATGCGCCAGAGCTTGTTCTTCACTTTCATCAATAATTGAAGACAATTGTGGGTGATTGAGAAACTAAAAGGACAAGCGCATTGATGTACATTATTGCCACGCGAAAAAAAAACGAATTAATTTCACAAAGAGATCTCGCATAGCTGGATATTAGGGTCTGAGTGACTTACCGCAGTACACCAGAAGTTTGGGATCTTTTTTATCATCTCACATCGCTTCTCGTACTGAGGCCGACGAAGCTGATTGTACTTCTGCTCTACCTGAATGCAATCGAGATGTCATGTACAAATGACCTGCTAACAAGTGTTTACAGCTATTCCTAGATATGCCTTGAACGCATTGTGCAATTAACAAGTTTTCGCTCGTATGCCATCAATATAGTGGGAGGTTAACCCATAAGTTTTGATTTCATGTATGTGTGCTAAATAAGAGCAGTGAAAAATACACCTATACATCCAGCAGGTGACAAGTTTTGCATTAAAGGCTGAGGTTTTACTTTCATTTCGTAAACCGTGTTACAAAGCAATCCAGCAGGTCAATTTTTACTAAAATCACTCGTAGCAAAAGTATCGCAGGGATAAAAATGATCGATATACACACATAACTTCGGAGTATCTTTCTCATGGAGAAACGAAGATTAGGAAAAGAGATGAGCAAAAGCAGAAATCATTTCCATGACAACTTTCGCTGAATCCATGGATCATCGGGACTATCTGGTGTATACAAGATTGTCAAGGTCTATGCTGGTGGCATTTGGCATGCGTCTTCATGCTTAGTGCAAAAGAAATAAAACCAAACAGGTGTGTGTGATAGTAAAGCTACAGAGGTTTAGTTGTTATAGGAAATGTCGTAACGCACGTAGAACAAAGAGACCCATATAACAACAAAGAGACCCATATAACATATAGAATGCAATATAACCGTAAGAATTCTCACCACAAAAGATGATCACCCTAAGGACGAAGAACCCAAATCATTATGCTTCGTAAAATTTGCAGATACCGTATCTGTCGAGATGGAGTTGATTATACCTACACGTTACACATGTCTTGATTAAATCAAAGTTTTGAAAAGGTAAACCTGTAGACACATGGTTCAGAAAAGACAACTAGTGCTATAAGGCATACGTTGAGGTAGAGCCACATTACCTCGAAACAGAGAAAAGAGATAAAAACAGACGCAAGGACGTAGGCTTTGGCACTAATTGCAGGTAAATATCAACTATTCGATAAATCAAAGTTATGCTGGCTATGCAAACCATACCTTCAGAATCTCTTCCGAAGCCTTCTCGTTCAACTTGTCAATCTCGTTTTGTACAGCATCTATGTCGATAAGGACTTTTTTCGTCTCCTCTGGTATGCCGCTGAGATGTTCGGGCAGGGCTTCGGTTTTCGGTTTTTTCGTTGCCGGTTCTCCGGAGGACATCCTCTAAGGTGAAGTTTCAAACCAAGCAATATGCAAGAAAAGGATTCATTCTGCTCTCAAGAAAGAGCTAAAAGGTATCATAGAGAGTTAATAAGTCAGGAGATAGGGGAATGCAGCTACTTGTACTCGATCAACAAAGCACCCGTAACTCTTGTATGTAGCCCCTAGGTAAAATCTTTTCAAAGGATTAGAAATGGCTCAGATTGCTATTTTAGAGATACTGGATACCCAACCAATTCAGAAGTTGTTACAAATAAGCATAGAAGCGCTAAACTTTTCGCGTATTGCTACGATGCCAATTTTTGTGTTGCCGCGCGTTCACTCCGCGCAGGACCAAATCCTGAATGCAGCGGTTGCGCTGCGGTTCTTGGCACGAGTTACTGATGACGTCATTGTTCATTTCGTCGCCTGCGGCCATCTGGTGAGCCGCTTTTATGGACTCCAGTAGGTGTTCGTAAGCTCTTTTCTTTTTTTTGAATTTTTTTCCATTTGGCAGAGCATTCTATATTTATTTATGATGCAGAGGTTCATTTTGGGAACATCTTGTGGGAACTAATTCCTCACTGGTTTCACGTCACTTTTTTTGTGAATTCCCACTTTTTCACGAGCTTTGGTGCAAGTAGGAGCTTCAACATAATATTCCGTTGTTGAAGGTGCTGGGCTGGCATTGATTTGCACCTCTTTTGATACACCCTTCCCGATGAGCGGCATATCGGGTCGACTTGTCTTCGATATGTGACTTTTTCCTATTCACTCATCGAAGGGCATATACTTTTTCGCTGAGGGGTCTGGGAATGAATTGTCTATGCTTTGTTGGTTTGATGAGGTGTTTTTTCTGTTTTTTTTCTGTTTTCTGCTTGGCAGCAAGCTTGCTGCATGTATGTATGCACATATTGATTGGTACCGCAGCACTCGTAGTCACGGTTTTGTTATTGCGATTATCAATCTAGAAGACATATCTGTTCCAGGTTTTCCCTCATCCTGTCGATGATTTGCTTGCGATTTGAACAAAATCGGTTTACATTCAGTTTGATGTGTTCACTGTGTGTTGTGCAGATGCAAGCTTCACCTTACGGTTGCTTTTCGTTTCTCGCATGTTGTCTTCGGAAAATTATATTCTTTTTCTTTGTATATGCTCAGGTAGTCACCACGATTTCCTTGGGGATAAGATGCATCATATTTTTTGCTTTGATTTTACTTTTCTTATTAGCCTGAATGCTGTAGTGGATGGGTAATCCATCTCTGTTGACCAGAATCATGTTGTGTTAAGATCATTCAAAAAAGGCCGCACTGTCATTGAAACTGGCAGTACTTGGTTGAAGTTATCACGGCTTTTGATTTCCAATACATTTTGAAATTATAGGCGGTGTCCACGCTTAAGTCTTATTCGCGAAAATAAGCGATGAGTTTCGTAAGGGTGTCCATCTGTCATTTGTCTGAACTGCGTAGAAATTGGGACATGTCACTTTTTGTCATCAATGGTAATGAAACCATAGATTTCGACGTAAAATTGGAAGTCTTTACGTGTGCTAATGGCGCACTGTTCTTTGATCATCTCATCTGGCGGTCACTTGATTTAGCTTTTGGAGGTTTCATATATAGGTGAAGATAAATTGGTTTTGGAGCCCACCGCTGAGTTCTATACTGGAGTGTTGCCATGGTAACAGTACCGTGGTTGTGTTTTTTGTGATGCAACAACTTTACGTATTGTTATCGATGCCGCGTGCGATAAACATCCCTGTCAAGCGTTGTTTCCATAGTTTCTTTAGAACTTGCGTCATGACCGTCAGTCGTTCACTTTGTATGCAGAACTAATGGCAAGTATTATAAGGGATACCAGTGAGTACTCTCGTCACGAAGTGAGTCCAGAGCTTTCTTTCTGTTCTACTTAGTGACACTATTATTAATGTGACTAGTTTTTATAATGTATATGTAGGCAAAATCGAGCTCTCAATCAGGAGGCCAAGTTCTTGTGAGGTAATTGAGCAGAAGGCTCTTCATAATGAGCATTCCAGCGTGATGCTTATCAGCGTAATGGCAAGCGCAGTGCCGACAGTGACTCAAGCTCTTCATCTGCTTCTAGCGAATCGGAACATGAACGAAAAAGAATGAGGTTGCAGAATGGAAGCTCAGACACAGTAAGTTTTCACTCAATTCAGTTAAACTCAAATCATTGATCAACTCGATGCCTTTTGAGACTATTTCTCCACCATTCTCCGATCCAAGTCATGGCTTTCCGTCTGAATCAGCAAAGGTTGTTTCTTTTATGATTCTTTGCGCGCATGTTCGTACCCAAAATGATATTTTTAGCAATTATATGAGCCCACAATAATTCCTCCCTACAGCGCTGGCGGAATGCCAATAAATGTAATTTCTCTTCATTTTTATATCTACCGTGCCCACACAAGTTATTTTGTACCTGCTCAATGTTTTTAGTCAACTCTCACTTGTTTCAGATGCCACTCACCGTATGTCCGCCTCCTCCTCCCCCACCTAAGAGGTATGGCACATTCTCTTCCTTCACAATCTTTTCGGTTCAAAGTCTACAGTTACAATTACAATTTGATTATAACATTCCAAAAAAGTTTCATCTTGGTACATTAGGATTTCAGAGTGAAGAATATTGTGTTATATCTTTCTGCCCCTATTTTGTGTATGTCCGCCCTATATTCTTTCATGCGTTGTGTTGAACGAGGAGTCATGGTTGTACATTGGTCTTTATATTCGTCGTTGTGGCGTTTATAAGGATTCATTAGGTGTTCTGAAATGTTTAGGGTGCATTTCTGCCGTCATTTCGTCCCCACAATAGCATTGATCATCAGAATGCCGTCCTCGCATTTCTTTTTCATCGTTGCAAAAATCGATACGCCAAGCACACAATTTAACCCATTTGCCGGTGTTGTCGACCCGGCAATCAAACACTGCAATCTTTTTGTTCACATCTTGTTCAGAGACGATGGCTTTTTCATAGGGTTCTTGGGTTGAGATCAAAATTGTCTGAAGCAACGTCAAATCGACAACAAAATCTCTTACCTTTTTGTCACTTTTTCCGCATAGGAGTTTCTGTTTCTTCACTAAGTGAACTCTTATTTTTGATGGCATGCATACTTCTCGTGTTTTGCTTTCAGTATAGAGCAGTGCTTTGATTGTCATTTCAGCTATCCCTGAATGTGTTATTTGTATTTAGCATCAGGATGAATCGACCGCGTGGACCGCGAACACCACCGATGCCTCCTTGCGAGGAAGACGTTCCACCACCTCCTGCGATACCTCCACCGATTGGTCCCATTCCAGCAGCAGCAACCTATCCACCGCAGGTTCCGGTTGTAGCCCCCGCTGCATATGCAGCACCTCCAGTGTAAGATTCATATTTGTTATGGTTCCCAACAATTTTGATCAACTTTTCAGTATGTCCTATCCATTCTTTCCACCACCTATGTTCTTTCCTGGATGTCCGCCGATTCCACCGATGCCGCCAATGATGGCTCAATGCTCAAGTATCAATTTTTTCGATACATAGCTCATTGTATAGAATTGTAATTTTTTCTTATCAAAGCCGCTTTCAGCTTTGGTGCAGCCAGCGATGGCTCCACCAACGGCGCAAGTTAAACTCACAATTTCGGACGTTCCTTCGCAGAGATCACATAAAAAAGAAGTTGTAAGTTCTACGTGCATCTATTGAACGTGCTATCACATCATTTTGCTTGTTTTTTTGCAAGCATTCTTCTTAAAAATTGTTTTATATCCTACTATGAAATAAGTTTTGCTTGTCTCAAGGAAGTTTCATAGCTACTTTTTTTGTGTTATGTGAAGCGGAATATCAGAAGTTTTGAGCCCATGAACGAGGAGAGAAGGCTTGAGATCGAAAGGAAAATCGAGGAGCAGATTCGTAAGGAACAGGAACGAAGGAGACAACTAGAGTTGAAGAAGGTGCTGTTCCTATCTATTTGCAAGTCAGGACAAGCATTATTGGTTACAAATTCAGCGAGGTTTTCGCTCGAAATTCCGCCTGAAGGCGCTTTTTTATGAAACTTTTTCTCTGCACATTATTCTACTTGTCTTGATCTGCGTTTTGCTTGCGCGAAATCATCAAATTGGTGAAGGCTTGCAAGACGATTATATGAGCATTTTCGGGATTGTACGTTTGCGTGGGGGTGCCATAGATAGTTAATGCGAATCGCTTTGGTGAGGATTTAGCGTCTATAATGTCTATGTTATGTTAATGTTAGGCGTTCATGCGCGATTTAAGCAGTTATTAATTATTTTTGTTTGCTGAATGCTAATTAGGACTAGTGGGCACTACTGAGCATTAGTGATTTCATCGGAAGAGTCTTGTACAAGTATCAGGATTAGAAACAGAAGATCACTCTAATGTTATTTTGAAGAATGTCGTCCTTACGAATGCACATTTCGTTCAGGTTGCTCATTGTAAATTACTTACTTTCATCCAAAAACGTTTTTTTGCCAGACTTCAAGCATACACTGCTCAGTCAACAAAAAATCGGCGCGAGTTGATAACTTGCGAACACCCAATATTTTTTCTGTGTATATTTGGTACCTGCTGTTTTATGCACATCTCATCGAGCGTGTTCAGGAGCGTGAAAAGAGTGAGCAGGAGCACAACCCCAAGCAGGGAACGGCACTAGCGTCCTCTGCTTCAAATACATCGGATCTTGACGCTGTCACTAATATTGCAATCCCTCAATCTCCCACGCCATCCTCCACTCCGACTACGAATTCTAAACGTCCAAGAACTCCAAACGAACCTTTGCCAAGTAATCGATCAGAGCGGCCTACATCTCGCTGGGATATTTCCCCTGCACAGTCCAAATGCACTGATGAAGCGGGTCCTGCTAATCTGGAGAAAAGTGGTGCTGTGGCTGCAAATTTTGGGGAGAAGTCTGGTAATGCGAACGATCAAGTGAAGGTAGAGGTCTCAACCATTCTTGATGTTAACCACCAGTAATTGCAAAATGATCAGGTTCTTCCGAAGGGCTTTCTTGCCTCGGACCCCATACTTGTTGATCTGTCGAACTCGCATGTGAAAGCAGCTAAGAGTAGCCCAAGGAAACGTGTGGAGGTAAAGGACTTTACGAATTGGTTACATGATTTTCCTTCAATCTAGTATCTATCTTCAGCGGACAAAGGAGAGTCTCAAATCAGCGAAGGAGTCTGCTGTTGATGAAGTGCAGTTTTCAACGTCTTTGAAGCGAGAGGTACTTTAACCCTTTTGTTGCGTTCTTATGTCAGTTTTGAAGTGTTTTTTCACGAGAAAATATTGCAATCATATTTTATGACGGAATGTTTTCATGTGTTAGATTCTGCTGTTTTATAGCCATCTCCTTCAACTCCCGCTCCGAGCGAACTTGAGCGTCCATGTGAACTTCCAGTAAAACTTGAAATCGAGCAGACTACGCTAGATCAGGATGTTGATCCAATGTCAGTCCGAGATACTATAAAGGTGGAGCCAAAAACAGAGGAGTCGGAAGGTTGCTTGCATGCCGCAAGGGAGAGTGTTGTCTTCGAAAAAGATGTACCGATGGAAGTTGACAGTGACTCGGAAAATGGGGCATCTGTTGCCTTCTCCGCTGTTTCAAACTCTGAAAATATCAGGAATACACCCGTTATGGAGATTAACACCAAAGAATCGAATGCGCATGAGGAGGAAGCGGGATCTCAACTTTACCACGAAAAGGTTGAAGGAACTTCGACTGATGACCTATGCTCAGGGGTGGAGATAGGAGGAGCGGCAACAAGGAGGGAAACGGTCAGAGATGTTGGTAACAGCAGCAAAGAAGAAATAAGCCAATATTCGGATACTGTTAATTCCGAAGTGCCTCGAATGGAAAATGTTATCGTCTTTGAAAGTTGGGAAAGAAAGGAAAAAACGGTAGAAACCGAAATGGATGTTAGGAATAGTAGCGCTTTGCCTTTGAAAAATCTGCAGCGAAGCAGTAGCACAACAGCAACAACACCTAGCGGAGTTGCTGGTGAACAACATAGCGGTAAAGAAGAGAGCAATCAAGAACGCACAAAGCCACAACCCGTATCGTCATCTTCCGTCAAGGTAGGATATTTCGGGTCTTCACTAATCTTTTCTGTCATCTGGTTTTTAGTTGACGCCATCGAAGGAGTCTCGAGCGCAGGCACATACCAGAACGCCAAAGAAGGAATCGGCTTCCGAACGTCCCTCTACTTCATCTAGCCCTATTAGCTCAGCAATAAAACGGCCAAAATTGAAGGTGAGGAATCTTAGCTTTTCATTCTATTCCCTCCTTTCCAAAGTAAACTCCGCTTTTTCTAGTCTACCCTTGTCTTTCAGAATGAGACACCAGAGAAGCAGCATTCGAAAACGCTTTCTCCACAACGGGATTCAAGCATGGCTAGTACTTCTCGAAACGTGGAAGGAACAAAAAAGCATCATCACAAAATTAAGGAGTAGGTTTCAACATTTGATAAACTTTGAATCTTTATGTTTTTTCCCGCTTTTTGATTTTTTTCCTCATGTTTGCTACAACGGTGATAAGGTTTATGGCATATCTTGCGCTTATGCACTTCTATTTCTATACTTTTCGTCATAAGCACATTTTGCATGTTGAGAATATAATATGTTTGTACAACTTGATTATCATGGGCAGTATGCATTTGAAGTTTGTGCATGGTGGATGCGAAGACATCCTCAAGTTGCCAAATCGTGTGACGACCAAATAACGCGGATGCTCAAGGCTTGAGTATTTTTCCTTCTTGAACAATCTGCACATGTTTTTTTTTTGTTAAAAATCAACTTCTATTTTTATTTTCCAAAGGATGGTTCATATATGAGCATCACAATTTGAGCAAGCTTACCTTGCGTTCAAGTAACAACCTCAATTTAGTGAGAAGACGGTCACTGGAAAAACCGAGGACAGTCAATTGCATTCTATACAGCCTAGCACATCTGCGCTGCATGTGAATGGCAATAGCTCGGCTGTCCAAAACAGCAACGCAGAAAGTAGAGTTACTGAGAGCGGTGTGAAGTGCAAGGTGGAGAATGGACACTCGCATTCTGAGAGCAAAGAGTCGAAGCACGACAGGAAGGACAAGTTGCCCAGAATCTCAAACAAGGTGACTTCATTACACTTTTCGCATCGCGTCCTTCCGTAAAATTGGATCTTTTTTGAAAGCGAAAAAGGCAATTCAAATTTCTTGGAGATCGTAAAATTGCTTGCAGTTTCGAAAGTTTGTCGTCGTTGATACACATCCGAATGGTGGAGCCTCCATTTTGCGCACAGACTGGAATAATATTCGCAAACATTTTGATGCAGAGGAAAGGTAATGTATACATTGTTGCTACATTTTTGTTCTTCTTCAAAATGTCAAAAAATCGTCCTTCATACATTTTGGCTGAATTATCCACAGACCATCGATGTACAAAGGCGATTACTCATGAGCAAGTGGGAACGAACGCAGGTTTTTTTTCATAGAAGCTAATTATTGCATTTCCAGGATAGAGTTCGCTAAGCAGTTCATACGGTTAGGACTAGCGGAGTCTAATGGAGTGCCTGTTTTTGTGATTGGCATTCTTGAAAATGCAGCGTCTTATCTGGCGGTACGTTGTTAGCGCCTGTCAAGATTGTGTGAAGTGCTATTTACTATTATGTTATAGGACGTATTCCAATACATGCACGAAAAACATCCACACTTACCGGTAAAGGCAAGTTATTTCTTTTCTGTTGTTCTTTCTTTCGTCAAAACTTAACATCATCTCATCTTGCAATATCTACTTATTCCATGTTGGTAGTCAGTGATGATTATATGCAGTTTGTATCTGCATTGAAGTTAATTGTAGTTATATCTCAATGTAGAGCTTCTTGTTCAACAAATTAGGTTAAGGTTGGCTCCTTGACCAATAAGCAGCTCGTAGAAACGATGCCATTCAACGTTTACTACAAGCAAGTTATGGAAACGTGTCATCATGGAACTTTCCGGTAAGCTTTTGGCATTTGGTCATCATCATTTGCATTTTACTCATTCAGGGCGGGTCCCATGCATTCGTTGTCGATGGTAGGCGCGAAGCAAGAAGAATGTGGAGACTATTTTGCTGATCTTTTGGCAGAATTGGAAAAATCTCCGGTAATTTTCATGTTGCTGTTTCCATTCGGTTTTGTACGTTTGTACGTTTTCGTAGAAATTCATCATAACCTATCGTGTACTTAACATCTCGCTCACCCTCCAAGAGTAAGCTTTGGGGAAGTGTCCGTCCACAGATGGACAAGCGAATATTGAGCTGCATATGTAAGACATAGCACATGCAGTTATTTGATCTTTGGATCTAGATACTTCATCCGATCATGCCCTGGGGAGAATGGTCAGCTCTGCAGCTCGATACCATCACAGAATGTGATGATGGACCAATTTTTTGGGTTCGCCCAGGGGAACAGGTTCGTGCTCTCCTTGTAACACCTCATCGCCGTGTAGTCCGTATATGAAATCCGCTTCTATCGTTTCAGTTAATACGAACTGATGATGTAAAGGACGAACGCGAGAGCAAGAGAAAGAAGTCTACACCTACAGGACGTGGACATTCACATGCAATCAGGTACAACTCATTCTTTCAGCGTATGTGTAAGCATATATTTATCAATTTCTTGACCTTCTATTCTACGTTATTCTTTTTCCTTTCATTGTGTGGCCGAACGTGCTCTTCAATTTTCGTCGAGCATACTCGAGATTTTAGGCATTATGAGCGACGAGAGCTTTTGTTTGAAGACCGGACTCCATGTCATGCTGACCATGTGGGTGACGGTTTAGAAAGAAAGACGACTGCTGCTGTGGGGATCTTGCAATCGATTCGTAACACCAATGAGAAGTAAGTGTGCTCGGTCATTACTCGCAGTATACTGAAAAAACGTATTTCGCAGACCATCACGTAAAGCTGTGAAAGATGTTGTTTGCTTCCATGCTGCAGATTTTGAACGTATCGTAGAGACCCTGCAACTTGATCTCTACGAACCACCCATGTCCCAGGTATGTCTGTGCTTTTTGAGTTTGAGAAATTGTGAAACAGTGCGTTGTTCTTTTGCTATTTTTCGTCTGACTTTTTTATTTTTGCGATACCATATGTAAAATAATCGCAGAAGTCGTTCTGCTCATGTCATGTCATTTCATTTCAGTGTGTTCAATGGGTTGAAGAGGCAAAGTTGAATCAACTTCGTCGCGAAGGTGTTAGATATTCCAAATTTCATGTGAGTTATGCTAATTATCCTCTTATTTGTCACGCTTTATTCGTTTCCATGGCGTATGTTGTATTCATCAGTATCGCTTGCAGTAATATCACTAATTCTAGTAGATCTTCCGCTCAATATAATCTGCTTGCGACTAAAAATTTGCGGTAATTATGCGCGGGGACAGGTAGAGCCTGTATGCCGGCCACTTGCGCGCACAAAATGCCGACTGCAGGCTTGGCTATGTGTCCACGCGCAAATTTTGTTTCAGTCTAGGCACCGCAAGCACAATTACGCTAAAAATCAATGACTGTATCAATGGTAAAATTTTGCAGTTTTCAGAGCAAGTTCTAAGCTGAAATTAGGTGCAGATATTGTATTGTTGTTTGTAAGCAGTTCATTCTGATCATAATCTATCGCAGTCTTGACTGGCTTTTCGTTATCAGTTCCCGAGAACTTGATTAAAAGAAATTTTTACCGCACGATAACCTATCCAATTCAGTTGCACCATAACGATATCTACTTCCTGCCACGGAAGATCGTCCACCAGTTTCGTACAATATCCGCCTGCTCATCGATTGCATGGCATGTTCGATTACAGCAGTACTATATGGAAGAAGAAGCGCCTGAGTAAAGTGCTACAGAAAGCGAGGTTTTGTTATCTACCTCAGCATTTGTTTTTCTAATCCCAGTTTATCAGGTTTTTTGACACTTGGTACTGTCGAATCGATTAGTTTCTTTTCATGAGATTTCTATGTCTTGTTTAATTTTTGTATGGTTGAAGATTGTATTCCCTATGAGATCTCTAGTTGTCGTAACTCTGTGAGTCTTGGTTATCGTTGAGAAATCGAAGTTCAGACTGCTACTTTCCAGACATATGGACAAGGAATTTTAAATGAATCAAATTCGTTTTGTTTCTAAGAGTCAATCTCATTTCTTTACACTCGCATTCTCAAATCATCCAAAGCGTTTTCTTAAGTATGCAGTATAATTCGACTTTTTCTCTCCTGTAAAGTAGGCGATGTTCGCATCCTCTTCATCTTGAATGATTACAATTGTATGGCTTATCGAGCCGTCTTCGATAATCTCTCTGATCAGGAACATTCATTCGAGTTTCGAGCCGGTTATATGTTGATGCCTATCTCGTGTACTTTCCAATACCATAATTTCTCATTTTTCATAAAACCAAACAGATTGCACGGAACAGCTTTATATCTCGATCCAGTAATTGTTAACTTCTGCGTGTCGCGCACGTGATGCCATTTCAATCTTTGCAGTGAGCGATCTCGCATGCTGTATCTGTCTGTGAGATTCATTTCCGACTAGTCTAGAATTTCCTCAAACTGTTATTTATTGTATAGATGTTCATAGAAGCAAAATACAAGGCACCTTTTGAGTATAAGTTGAACGCATTGTGATTACGAAGGTGGATTGTATTTCTAACAGTTAGCTGCAGAATGCGGTGGTTTGAACGAGCATTTTATTCGTGTATCTCAGATGTGCTGTTACTTGAAGTAAAAAAGGAAATTTTTGTCGAATTCGCTGTAATATGTAAAAGTTATGTTAGTCAGTGGAATGTATCCATGGGATGAGTAGCTCGAGCCTCTTTATATGGGTTGTCTCAACTAAGCCCTCGTAGCAGCACTTTGGTGAAACGGCTGTGCATCGTGTGATACAGCGAGAGAATGTAGTTTGGAGCGAAAGCTGGCAGTGAGATCTGGAGCAGGGTTGGGTGGAGATGATACTGGAGAAGTAGATATGATGCTAATTATTTTGCTCCCAGCAAATATGTTAAAATTTGGATGTACGGCAGCGCAATTGTAAACATGCACAAACACAGAGAGCTTCACGATGGATCCTTACCGAAATCTGTACTCCACAGATGATCTTAAGATTTGAAAAGGTTACAAATGCCCGAAGTCGATTAGAACCACACCCTTGCTAGTAGATTGAGGTTATGGAAGTTTTGGTGTACACCAAGCTGGTACCACTACTTTATATAATATTGAATAGTTGTTGAGCAGCCGCTGACTATCAGCAGTGAATATGCGGAACAGCCGCTGACGATAGTGGTATAATCGAACCAGCACCAGAACTATTCAGTTCCTTTTATGCCACTATAATGGGCGTGGATAACCTGAATGCTTATTTCTGGCAAACAATATATCATACAGAATCAAGGATTGCCTACATGAAAGTATACTTTCATGAAAGTATACTTTCATGCGCCTTAGGCGCCCCCAAGTACTCAGACAATTGCATCGGAAAGTTCGCGGCCTTAAAGCGTGTTACACGGTGCGCCGCGGCCCTTAAAATTTCAGCCGCACACGCCGCGACCCATGTATATTTTACCGGGAACGCCGCGGCCAGAGTTGAAATCGGGAAGAGATTACCGGGAAGGTCGCGGCCCAACCACCTCACTCGGCGGGCCCTATCAAAGGCCGCAATTCTTACACGCTGTAGTTTAAGGCGCAACCCTCGTGAGGTACGTCGCAGCGATGGGGCTACCCTAAGTGTTTATGAGGCTGGGTATCGCTTCTTGGATTTGGTCCTATCTGACAGAGATGAGTTTTTATGCTGATGAAATAAACTTCAGCAGTCGGATGAGTAATATCGACGGCATTAGATGGATGTCGACAGATGAGCTATCAAGTTGCTCAATTTTTGCTCAAGTCGTTGTCATGAAAGACACGCCAAAAGATTTTTCACTCTTCCTAGGCCTCACAAGCATGCTAATCGGGTCAACTATCGGGCGCTTACAGGGTGCACCGCGGTCACTTATCGGGTCCAATTTCGGTTTATACCGGGCAGCTCGCGGGCATGGATGATTGGTGGTCGAGCAAGCACCCGCGAACTTCCCGATGCGATTGTCTGAGTAGACTATCAAGCACAGTGGGGGGGGGGGGGTGACCTGGCGGCTTAAAGGCAGTACATCGGCAGAATGAGACCCGTGACAAAACAAAGTCACAGGGTAGGAGCCCCCATATGGAACCTATCGGCCAAAGTCCGATCTTTCTCTGCCACTTCTAACCCCCGAAATTTCGAAGCAAAAGCAGCGCTCATCTCCTGTCTTCTCCGAACCCGCCCACCCCATGGACGAGTGACTTCCGCATTCATAGCGCCAGCCGCAATGCTATAAGCATGAGGTCCCGCAACGACTCTGCGTCTTCGCCAGGCCGGCTGCACGTTCACTCGTCCATGGGGTGGACGGGTTCGGAGAGGACAGGAGATGAGCGCTGCTTTCGCTTTGAAATTTCGGGGGTTAGAAGTGGCAGAGAAAGATCGGACTTTGGCCGATAGGTTCCATATGGGGGCTCCTACCCTGTGACCTTGTTTTGCCACGGGTCTCATTCTGCCGATGTACTGCCTTTAAGTGGTCAGTGAACAGTAATGTATGTCAACGACAAGCTATCAGATATTGAATATAACATATGGTTCATTTTTGAAATCGTGACGACGGGTTGGCTGCGGTCTTTCCGCACACAGAAGGATAAAACACCCATACAAATAGGCAACACCTCAATTATAAGCTCAGTCACTCCCATTGCCTGAGTACTATCATATTTAAGCAGAAAAACTATTTGAGTAGAGATAGAAACCAAGAGTTGGCAGTGCGTGCGTGTTGCGCGCGGTCGCGCCATCGTCACGATTTTTCGAATGCCCTATACATGGTAGATATACAGGGTGGCCGAAAGTATGGGCGTCACATTTTTCCTTCAATGATTTTTCATAGCAAACAAATTGCTGTAAGACTATTTTTGCATGCCCAAAACATAGGCATCTTTATGTGTTACTCCTGCAAGACTGGACTCCTGCGCATGCATACAGACTTCAGCAGCTTACCTTGAAGTTGATGCGTCAAAAATGCTACTTGAAGAATGTACTCATTGCAAATCCGTTGAATTAACCCAGTTATTACCCTATTTTCCGGCTTATAAGCCGCACCTTATATAAGCCGCACCCGCCGCAGCGAACAATGGCGCGAAAGCGCCTTTGAAAAGAGTTATGTAGCAAATTGAAAACTCGGTGCGCTCTAGTGCGGATAGTCATGTCTTCAGGTATTTTTTTTACTCCTACAAAAGTGTGTGTGCTAATTTTGGTGTCATAGGTGGGAGGAAGTCCTATACAGCCGAATTTAAACTGAAAGCAGTAGATTATGCTGCCGAGAATGGAACCGGCCAGGCTTCTCAAAAATTTGGTGTCGATCGCAGGATGATACAAAGATGGCGAAGTGATCAGGAGAAGCTCAGAAAGTGCGAAAGAAAGAAGAGAGCGTTTCGAGCACCCCCACCAAAATGGCCAGCATTAGAAGAAGAGCTGAGTGAATGGATTATCGAGCAACGTGAACGAGGAAGGAGAGTTACAACCGTAAGATTGAGGGCCAAAGCTATTGAGGCAGCACAAAGGCTTGGATACGAAGACTTCACTGGTGGTGCTCACTGGTGCCATAGCTTCATGAAAAGAAAGGGATTCTCTGTCAGACAGCGCACCAGCGTTGGCCAGCCACTCCCTCCAGATGCCGAAGCCAAGATGGCTAACTTCAGAAAGTTCGTGATGGACAACACGATAAATGTGAATCCAGCAAACTTAGGAAACTTTGATGAGGTACCCGTTCCCTACGATGTAGCCGGCAACAGAACAGTCGAAATAACAGGCAAGGATGACGTGGCGATCACTACAACGGGTCATGAGAAGAAAAATTTGACAGTTGTACTGGGTGTCACTGCTGACGGCAACAAGCTCAAACCAATGCTGATTTTCAAAAGGCTTACGATGCCAAAAGTGAGATTTCCAGAGGGTGTTGTCATCAAAGTGAACCAGAAAGGGTGGATGACAGAAGCGATTATGAAGGACTGGATCAGAGAGTGCTGGCTGACAAGGCCCAATGCGGCGCAAGAACCTAGCCGCTCAATGCTCATTTTCGACTCCGCTAGATCTCACCTGTCCGACGAAGTCAAAACTGAGATTGAAAGCGTTTCTAAGATCGCGGTTATCCCAGGAGGCTTGACAAAATATCTGCAACCGCTGGATGTGGCTGTCAACAAACCTTTCAAGGACAATCTGAGGAAGCATTGGGACGCTTGGATGGCTGACAGTAATCAGGAGGAGTTGACTAGAGGAGGAAGAAGAAAGCCGCCGCGATTGGCGTTGATTGCCGAATGGGTGCTCCAGAGTTTCCGAGATGTCAGCGTTGATTCTATCCTCAATGGATTCAACGAAGCTTTGACAATAGATCTCGACATAGATGATCTCGATAATAGCTTCTCGTCAATGCATCTTGATGATAGTGAGAGTGCTTAGATGTTTTTCTTGTCTCATATGACTTTGCGGGTGTTTAGGTTGTGTTTTCTTTCCTAAATGATACTGGTGGTTGACTGTGCTTTCCTTTTTTCAATGATCTTACTGGTGCTGAAGTAGTGCTTTCTTTTGTTTTGAGTTACAGGTTTGAAGTACTGCTTGTATTTGAACGTTCTTTCATTGTTCAGCGGATTCTTGAAGAATAAATGAGAAGATGGAGAATTTTGTTAAAAACAAATACACTTGCGAAAAATCAAATAAAGAACGCAAGCAGAAAGCTCGTATAAGATTACCGCGCGAAATAGATAGTGATTGCTGTTTGTGCGGTTTCGCGCATCGCGAACGACATCGCATTTCAGCCCGCGCGCGGTGAAAAGAACTGCGGCTTATACGCCGGAAAATAGGGTAATCGAATAGATTCTAAGACTTGAGTTGTAGAGGACAGTCCGAGGAATAACACTGTGCTGTAACAGCAAAAAATTCTCCTTTCCAAAATAAGGCACGTTACTATAAATATGATGTTAACTGAACGCGCCGCAGCGCCTCTGAAGAGAAAGTAGACTTAGGAGTCCCGTTTGCATCAGAAAGCTTCAATTCGCGTGATTTTCACTTATCTTAATATGGAGATTGTCCGTAAGCTAAATGCATATTAGCCGCCATGATAGGTTATTTCTGAAAAAAGGTACATTACATGTTGTAACGCCCATACTTATCGGCCACCCTGTATGTACAATGCTAAAGGTTGTAGATTATTTGGATAATCTACAACAGAAGTGCACTTGCATTGTATAGAAATTCGCATAAACTACGATATACATAAAAAACGTTTTGTTTTACGAAGGTTATTGTGATAAGGAGAGAAAATAAAGGAAAAATTGGACCCAACAGCAAAATGAAGAGACGATAGTGGTGCATGGTCGCTATGTAGCAGGGGCGGAAACTGCGTGCATTCAGAAGGCATTCAGATTCCGCGTTAGTATTGTTCTGACATTGCCGGCACTTTATATCTTTACTGCTATCGAAGTACCTTGAAGGCAATCAGTTTCACGCGAGACCCACGCGTGTCGACCCATGAATCCATGCTATTACGATCCCGGTGTCCAATATGGGGGC